GTCCTGAAGATCTACGTCCTGAAGATCTACGTCCTGAAGATCTACGACCTGAAGATCTACGTCCTCCAAGTTGGAAGCTCTACAGGCATCAACACGTGGCCGGAACCTGGGTGAGGGTCAGACCCTTCGTAGCTGTAACTCCTCCGTATACTCACACATCATACACTGACTCACTCACACATCATACACTCACTCACACTACCACTGACTCATTCACTCATCATAGACTGATTCACTCATCATACACTCACTCATAATACACTGACTCACTCACACATCATACACTCACTCACACTACCACTCACTCACACATCATACACTGGGAGTGTCATGTTGCCAGATATGGCTGCAAGTTTTGTCGTACATGTTATGTATATCGTTTATTGTCAAATTTGAATCAAAGTTCCTATGATTACTGTTGTTACATTGTGTTTTATAGCTTTATTTTGGTGATTTCGAAAACATATGGTTACGCCGTGTTTCTTGCGGAAGTGCGAAATTGGCCTGATAACATTAATCTAAATTGGTCTTATGGTTGTTATTGTTTGACTTGCATCACACTGGGATTTTTGCCCACAGCGTTGTAATGCGGTGGGTTTTTTTCTTTCTGGAAGATTTGCTGGTTTATCCAGGATGTTTCTGTTGCGCGTCGTCGCTTTAAGTTGTTCTCTGTTCATATTTTGTTTGTTGCGGTTGCACCCGACTCTAGAGCCGCATGGCTCACAGGGCTATATACCTAATACACGAAACTTGAAAAACTTGATTGGTTGTGGTTGTTGTTGTGGTGATTGCTGATTGGTTGTGGTTGTTGTAGTGATTGCTGATTGGTTGTAGTCATTGCTGTTAGTCGGGCGATTATGGTTGTGTTGATTGCCGATTAGTTGTGGTCGTAATTGCTGGTGGTTGTGGTTGTTGTAGTGATTGCTGGTGGTTGTGGTTGTTGTAGTGATTGCTGGTGGTTGTGGTTGTTGTTGTTGTGGTGATTGCTGATTGGTTGTGGTTGTTGTTGTGGTGATTGCTGATTGGTTGTGGTTGTTATAGTGATTGCTGATTGGTTGTGGTTGTTGTTGTAGTGATTGCTGATTGGTTGTGGATGTTGTAGTGATTGCTGATTGGTTGTGGTTGTTGTAGTGATTGCTGGTGGTTGTGGTTGTTGTAGTGATTGCTGGTGGTTGTGGTTGTTGTTGTAGTGATTGCTGATTGGTTGTGGTTGTTGTTGTGGTGATTGCTGATTGGTTGTGGTTGCAATTCGTTGCGGCTCTTGCAACAATCAACGCCCACAGGGGAAGTGGCCATGATCATCTTAAACCACGCCCATCTCCTTATAAGGGAATTGTGGGCGGAGCCTCCGCTCCCTTACCTCGGCACGAGGCCATGCCCGTTCTGCCCCTGACTCCCACACATCTCGACAAGACTCGACACGTCCCGTAACCAAACACATTCCTCCTGCGGAGGGAGCTGGTAGGAACGTTGGGTTGCTCGGTCAATGGCCAGGGTCAACGGCGGCGTGGTGTATTCCGCAAATATGGCCGATTGTGAGGGCGGGCACAAGCCGGCGTGAGTAGGTTAAACGTTGAGTTTTACTGGTAGGAACGAAGTGGACCAGACCACCAATAGATTAATGTGTCCGTCCGTCCGTCTGTCCGTCTGTCTGACAAGATGGCCGCTCGCTCCCCCTGCGATCTGTGAACTAAACAAGATGGCCGTCGCTTCCGGCGCCTCACAGCGAAACTTTAAACTTCGCTTCAAATTTACTTTACTGAAACGCAGCACGTTTTTTTTAACACGGAGACAAGATACATTTATATTAACACAGACACGAGATACATTTAATCGCCTTATTTGCGACGCCTACTGCAGAAAAGGCATCGCGAGGCCTACTGCAGAGTAGGCTTCGCGAGGCCTACTGCAGGGAAGGCTTCGCGAGGCCTACTGCAGAGAAGGCTTCGCGAGGCCTAGTGCAGGAGGCTTCGCTAGGTCTACTGCAGAGAAGGCTTCGCGAGGCCTAGTGCGGCAGGCTTCGCGAGGCCTACTGCAGAGAAGGCATCGCGAGGCCTACTGCAGAGAAGGCTTCACGAGGCCTACTGCAGAGAAGGCTTCGCGAGGCCTAGTGCAGAAGGCTTCGCGAGGCCTACTGCAGGAGGCTTCGCGAGGCCTAGTGCAGGAGGCTTCGCGAGGCCTAGTGCAGGAGGCTTCGCGAGGCCTACTGCGACAGGCTTCACGAGGCCTACTGCAGAGAAGGCTTCGCGAGGCCTACTGCAGAGAAGGCTTCACGAGGCCTACTGCAGAGAAAGCTTCACGAGGCCTAGTGCAGAAGGCTTCACGAGGCCTACTGCAGGAGGCTTCGCGAGGCCTACTGCGACAGGCTTCGCGAGGCCGTCCGTCTGTCCGACAAGATGGCCGCCCGCTCCCCCTGCGATCCATGAACTAAATGAACTAAACAAGATGGCCGTCGCATCCGGCGCAGCCAATGACATCGCCTGTTGCAATCCTTGCTCTGTGGGCGCGCGAGTCAGTGGGGAGGGAGGGGGGTGTGGACGTCATCGCTCACCCCCCATGCACAAATCATTTTCTTTTTAACTCCTCTATACCCGGTCGATATCCCTGTACCGGTATTAGTATTATTCCTACCAGCCCACCCCGCAGGGTCCTGTTATAAGGGCACCACGGGGTGACCAGCCTCTCCCCACCCAGCCCCACCCCACCCAGCCCCACCCCTCCCACCCCCCACCCAGCCCCACCCTCCCCACCCAGCCCTCCCCACCCTCCCCACCCAGCCCCTCCCCACCCTCCCCTCCCCACCCAGCCCCACCCTCCCCACCCAGCCCCACACCACCCTCCCCACCCAGCCCCTCCCTACCCTTTCCACCCAGCCCCTCCCCACCCTCCCCTCTCCACCCAGCCCCACCCCTCCCATTTTTGGATGCACGACGGACGGACGGACGGACACAATAATCCCCTGTGGGCTGGTGGAACCAGGTGGTTCCTACCAGTATAAACAACAGCGTGTACGTGTGTTGTGGCGTGCGTGGCGTGCGTGTGTGTTGTGGCGTGCGTGGCGTGGCGTGCGTGTGTGTTGTGGCGTGCGTGTGTGTGTTGTGGCGTGCGTGTGTGTGTGTTGTGGCGTGCGTGTGTGTGTGTTGTGGCGTGCGTATGTGTGTTGTGGCGTGCGTGTGTGTTGTGGCGTGCGTGTGTGTTGTGGCGTGCGTGTGTGCGTGTGTGTGGCGTGCGTGTGTGTTGTGGTGTGCGTGTGTGTGCGTGCGTGTGGCGTGCGTGCGTGTGGCGTGCGTGTGTGTTGTGGCGTGCGTGTGTGTGCGTGTGTGTGGCGTGCGTGTGTGTTGTGGCCTGACATTGACCATCCATCGCAGTCAGTCGACCCGTGGCACCACCTGGGTCTGTCCCGTCACCTCCAGCCAGCGATTCCTTGGACACTCCACGTGGCCTTAACGTGCACGTAGCCTGGCACGAGCGCCGTGGTGACGTCACCGCCACTTAGTGGCGAATGGCGGTTGTTGTTGTGAGGCCTTAAAGGGAAAACAAAGAAATAATCGGCGACGTTTCGAAGTAGGGTCAGTGCCTGAAACGTCGCCTAATATATATTACTTTTGATCGGATATGGAGAGTTGTCCACCACTGCTGTGCCAATGGTGGCTAGGAGATGTTGACTACCTCGCCTTTTATGCAGGAGGTCGTGGGTTCGATCCCGACCCTGACACCTGCTGTATATGTGGAGTTTGCGGTGTATCTCTCTCATCATCATCACGGTGGCTAGGAGATGTTGAATAACTCGCCTGGTATGCAGAAGGTCGTGAGTTGGATCCTGATCCTGACACCTGCTGTATATTTGTAGTTTGCGTGTCTCTCTCTCTCTCCCCGTGGTCACGTGGATTTTTCCTCTGGGTCCTCCGGTTTTTTCCCTCCACATTTACAATGAACATCACGCGCTTAGAGAATTTGGCTACAGCCATACATTGAGCTCTACATCTCCACGTGATGATAACCCACATTTGTGGACAGGTCGCTTCTGTAAAAAGAGCTGCTTTACCTGCTAAAATAAAATAAAAATCGTACTATTACATCCGTAATAAAGTTGTTTGTTTGAAAGGTTTTATAGACGTAAACAGAGGCACGTCTTCACGATTCTGGCTATCGCCTGCCGAGGCTGGTGGTCGTTGTTGTAATCGCCAGCGAAACGTCGCGACGGTCCTCCCAATTGTAAATGTCGTGGCTTTACTCTCCGACACAACCGGTGAGCTGAAGTCGTTACTAATCGGCGCCTTTTGTTGACGCGACAAACCCCTCACTAACCGGCGGTGTTGGGTTTAACGACACATCTATATTTGGAGATCCAACCCCCCCCCCCCCCGAAAAAAACCCCCTTTGTTAGGGATAATATTGGTTGCGAAATCCCTACCAAAGTGTTACAATGGTTCTAGATCATTGGTACCTCATTTGCCAGTAAAAAGTATGATAATTGGTTTTTTACCCTTTTATCTGGCAATAAAACTGACACCTTTTTTTTACGAGGAGTCATGTTTGCATAGACCACAATACCTGGCGTCATCTGGTCCAACCCATGTGAGACTAGGATCTAAGGAAAGCTGTCTCGGGTGTGGACCAATCAACTTCAAGGACAGTGCATACATTATCAGAGTTATGTTTTTTGTTTGCATTATGACTGCAGGTATTGTGGTCTATGCAAACATGACTCCTCGTAAAAAAGGTGTCAGTTTTGTTGCCAGATAAAAGGGTAAAAAAACAATTATCAATGGTTCTAGATTTGAAGTTTTCGTGACTGCAAGCATCTATACTCTTTGGGTTTTTTCGGTAAAGTCACGTGGGTGAAAAATAAAATTAATTTATTAAAATTAAAATTATTAAATAATATTAATTATTTTATTTATTTTTTTCCTACGTGACTTTACCGAAAAAACCCAAAGAGTATGTTACAATGGTAGCATGACCAGAGTAGAGTCTGTGTGCCGTGCCTCGTTGTGCAGTGACCCACAGGCCACCACGGAACATCTCGCCCTGGCAGCCGTGCGTGGTGGCAGCCCTCGCCTGGGGCACACCGGGGGCATCACGTGCCACCGCCTCGGTCCACTGCTGGCCACAGCACCAGCAGCGGTGGGCAGATGCAAGAAGGCGGATTGTCCGTGGCTCTGAGGCCACGCCCACCCTGACAATGATTGACAGGAGCTGCGCCAGTGAGTGACGACTGCACGCATGTTGAGTTGGAACCTCTGGGTCCAAAGGTGAAACACACCCCCCCCCCTCTGACCCCCCCACTCCAACCCCCCCCCCATCTGACCCCCCCCCCCTCCGCCCATGACCACTGGTCCCCCGACAGCACCTGCAGGGCACCAGCTCCGTCTCTCCCGCTTCGCGCCAGGTACGAGCAGCGAGCGGACGCCGCGCGCCGGGGGAGCCGGGTGAGGCGAGCACGGCGTGGTGAGGCCAGCGCAGTCCCTCGGGGTGGTGAGGAGCCCAGCGGCGGCTCCTGCTCCACGTCCTCCTCCTCCTGCTCCACGCGGCGAGGCAGTGAGGCGTCGGGGTGAGGCGCCGCAAGTCCCCCAAGTCGCCGCCGCCGCCTCCAACCTCGGCGCTCAAGGGGTCAGAGTCCGCGCCCGCGCCTCGTTCTGGCTCACACATTGACAACAACATCCACGGTAGGCGCGCCTGTGTCCCCGTTGTCTCCCTCCGTGTCCCCGTTATCTCGCCGTTATCTCCCTCCGTGTCCCTGTTGTCTCCCTCCGTGTCCCCGTTATCTCGCCGTTATCTCCCACGGTGTCTCCCTTGTCTGCCTCCGTGTCTCCTTTGTCTCCCACGGTGTCCCCGTGTCTCTCTCTCCCTGTGTCCCCGTTGTCTCCCTCCGTGTCCCCGTTATCTCGCCGTTGTCTCCCACGGTGTCTCCGTTGTCTGACTCCGTGTCTCCTTTGTCTCCCATGGTGTCCCCGTGTCTCTCTGTCCCGTGTTTCTCTCCCTGCTTCCCCGTGTCTTTCCCCCTATCCCCCGTCTCTCTCTCCCTGTGTCCCCGTGTCTCTCTCTCCCTGTGTCCCCATGTCTCTCTCCCTGTGTCCCCGTGTCTCTCTCTCCCTGTGCCCCGTGTCTCTCTCTCTCTGTGTCCCCATGTCTCTCTCCCTTGTGTCCCCGTGTCTCTCTCTCCCTGTGTCCCCGTGTCTCTCTCTCCCTGTGTCCCCGTGTCTCTCTCTCCCTGTGTCCCCGTGTCTCTCCCTGTGTCCCCGTGTCTCTCTCTCCCTGTGTCCCCGTGTCTCTCTCCCTGTGTCCCCGTGTCTCTCTCTCCCTGTGTCCCTATGTCTCTCTCCCCCTGTGTCCCCGTGTCTCTCTCTCCCTGTGTCCCCGTGTCTCTCCCTGTGTCCCCGTGTCTCTCTCTCCCTGTGTCCCCATGTCTCTCTCTCCCTGTCTCCCCGTGTCTCTCTCCCTGTGTCCCCGTGTCTCTCTCTCCCTGTGTCCCCATGTCTCTCTCCCTGTGTCCCCGTGTCTCTCTCTCCCTGTGTCCCCGTGTCTCTCTCCCTGTGTCCCGGTGTCTCTCTCTCCCTGTGTCCCCATGTCTCTCTCTCCCTGTGCCCCCATGTCTCTCTCTCCCTGTGTCCCCATGTCTCTCTCTCCCTGTGTCCCCGTGTCTCTCTCCCTGTGTCCCTATGTTTCTCCCCCTATGCCCCGTGTCTCTCTCCCTGTGTCCCCGTGTCTCTCTCTCCTTGTTTCCCCGTGTCTCTCTCTCCCTGTGTCCCCGTGTCTCTCTCTCCTTGTGTCCCCGTGTCTCTACCCCTATGCTCCGTCTCTCTCTCCCTGTGTCCCCGTGTCTCTCTACCTGTGTCCCCGTGTCTCTCTCTTCTTGTGTCCCCGTGTCTCTCCCCTATGCCCCGTGTCTCTCTCCCTGTGTCCCTGTGTCTCTCTCCCTGTGTCCCCGTGTCTTTGTCTTCTTGTGTCCCCGTGTCTCTCTCTCCCTGTGTCCCCGTGTCTCTGTCTCCTTGTGTCCCCGTGTCTCTCCCCCTATGCCCCGTCTCTCTCTCCCTGTGTCCCCGTGTCTCTCTCTCCCTGTGTCCCCGTGTCTCTGTCTCCTTGTGTCCCCGTGTCTCTCTCCCTGTGTCCCCGTGTCTCTCTCTCCCTGTGTCCCCGTGTCTCTCTCTCCTTGTGTCCCCGTGTCTCTCCCCCTATGCCCCGTCTCTCTCTCCCTGTGTCCCCGTGTCTCTCTCTCCCTGTGTCCCCGTGTCTCTCTCTCCCTGTCTCCCCGTGTCTCTTTCTCCCTGTGTCCCCGTGTCTCTCTCTCACTGTGTCCCTGTGTCTCTCTCTCCCTGTGTCCCCGTGTCTCTCTCTCCCTGTGTCCCCGTGTCTCTCTCTCCCTGTGTCCCCGTGTCTCTCTCTCCCTGTGTCCCCGTGTCTCTCTCTCACTGTGTCCCCGTGTCTCTCTCTCCCTGTGTCCCCGTGTCTCTCCCCCTATGCCCCATCTCTCTCTCTCCCTGTGTCCCCGTGTCTCTCTCTCCCTGTGTCCCCGTGTCTCTCCCCCTATGCCCCATCTCTCTCTCCCTGTGTCCCCGTGTCTCTCTCTCCCTGTGTCCCCGTCTCTCTCTCTCTGTGTCCCCGTGTCTCTCCCCCTATGCCCCATCTCTCTCTCTCTGTGTCCCCGTGTCTCTCTCTCCCTGTGTCCCCGTGTCTCTCCCCCTATGCCCAGTCTCTCCCTGTGTCCCCGTGTCTCTCTCTCCCTGTGTCCCCGTGTCTCTCTCTCCCTGTGTCCCCGTGTCTCTCCCCCTATGCCCCGTCTCTCTCTCCCTGTGTCCCCGTGTCTCTCTCTCCCTGTGTCCCCGTGTCTCTGTCTCCTTGTGTCCCCGTGTCTTCTCTCCCTGTGTCCCCGTGTCTCTCTCTCCCTGTGTCCCAGTGTCTCTCTCTCCTTGTGTCCCCGTGTCTCACCCCCTATGCCCCGTCTCTCTCTCCCTGTGTCCCCGTGTCTCTCTCTCACTGTGTCCCCGTGTCTCTCTCTCCCTGTCTCCCCGTGTCTCTCTCTCCCTGTGTCCCCGTGTCTCTCTCTCCCTGTGTCCCCGTGTCTCTCTCTCCCTGTGTCCCCGTGTCTCTCTCTCCCTGTGTCCCCGTGTCTCTCTCTCCCTGTGTCCCAGTGTCTCTCTCTCCCTGTGTCCCCGTGTCTCTCCCCCTATGCCCCATCTCTCTCTCTCCCTGTGTCCCCGTGTCTCTCTCTCCCTGTGTCCCCGTGTCTCTCCCCCTATGCCCCATCTCTCTCTCCCTGTGTCCCCGTGTCTCTCTCTCTCTGTGTCCCCGTGTCTCTCTCTCTCTGTGTCCCCGTGTCTCTCTCTCCCTGTGTCCCCGTCTCTCTCTCTCTCTCTCTGTGTCCCCGTGTCTCTCCCCCTATGCCCCGTCTCTCCCTGTGTCCCTGTGTCTCTGTCTCCTTCGGGGACATGGGGCGAGGTGAGAGGAGACCAGCGGTGAGTGGCGCGTTGTTGTTGCCGTTGTTGTTGTTGGAGTGATTGGTGAGTTTAGGCCGTGGTGAGGAGTAGGAGGCGTGTGAGTTTGGCGGTGGTTGAGGTGGTGGTGGTTGAGGTGGTGGTGGTTGAGGTGGTGGTGGTTGAGGTTGTGGTGGTTGAGGTGGTGGTGGTGGTTGAGGTGGTGGTAGTTGAGGTGGTGGTGGATGAGGTGGTGGTGGTTGAGGTGGTGGCGGTGGTCGAGGTGGTGGTTGAGGAGGTGGTGGTGGTTGAGGTGGTGGTGGTTGAGGTGGTGGTGGTTGAGGTGGTGGTGGTTCAGGTGGTGGTGGTTCAGGTGGCGGTGGTGGTTGAGGTGGTGGTGGTGGTGGTTGAGGTGGTGGTTGAGGTGGTGGTTGAGGCGGTGGTGGTTGAGGTGGCGGTGGTGGTTGAAGGTGGTGGTGGTTCAGGTGGCAGTGGTGGTTGAGGTGGTGTGACTAATTAGCTAGTTTGGTTGTGGTTAAGGTTGTGGTTAGAGGTGGTTTTGGTTGAGCCAGATGTGGTTGTGATTACATTTTGTATAATCACCACGGTAGCTGATTTAATCCCATGCTAACCCCAACGACCCCATCGTTACGCCCTTGTTAACCACATGCCTTGTTAGCACAGGTGAACCCCATGGTTACCCCATGATTACCACGTGGTTACCCGATGTTAACCCAACCGGTTACCACTCGGTTACTCCATGGTAATGCCTTGCCACGTGTCACTTCGCTGCAAAGTTCGCCACGAGCCGAGAGCCAGGTCGAGGCGACTTCCACGACGTGTTGACAGAGTTGACCGCCGCGCGTGCGAAGAGTGTCCCAGTGTGCGGGGAGTGGTGGCGCAGTGGTTAGCGGCACTGCGCTTCGAGCCCAGCGACCCGAGTTCAATTGCCGCTTGCGACCAACATCAGCGACGAACATCTGAACCTGGTTCTGGGTCTCCTTCCCTAGGGAACCCGGTGCGATGCGTAAACATCGCCACCGGGGAGACAAAGGCGGCCGGGCGTGGTGTTGGCCACCCACCCCCTCGTGTGCCATGCCGGCCTTCATAGGTGCTGCTGCTACTCGCTAACAGCACTTGCTCAAATAGTGCTAAGGCTATGGGGGGGGATCTTTGTTTTTCGTGTGTGTCTGAGTGTGTGTGGGGAGCGGTAGTGTAGCGGTTAGCGCACTGCGCTATGAACCTGGCGACCCGGGTTCGATTCCCGCTCACGGCTAACACCAGTGACGATTATCTGAACCGGTCCTGGGCCTCCCCTAGGTCGACTCAGCCTTAAATGAGTACCTGGTGCAGTGTGTAAACATCGCCACTAGGGAGACAAAGGCGGTCGGGTGTGGTGCTGGCCACCCACCCCCTCGTGTACCGTTCTGGCCTTCATAGGTGCTCGCTAACAGCACTTGCCCCTACAGTCTGTTAAGGCTATACGGGGGATCTTTGTCTTTGTGTGAATGGGACCCCCTAATGGAGCATCTTCGCCTGTTGGAAACATTTAGGCTGGCCTGTCTACGATCCATCCTGGGTTTAACCAGGCTGGATTGTGTGAGGAGCTCACAAATCCTTGAAAGATCTGGGCAAAGTCCCATCGATGAGCTCCTCCGGCAGGCAAGGCTGCGTTGGCTGGGTCATGTAGCCCGCATGCCCAGCCACCGCATGCCTAAACAGCTTTTGTTCGGCCAGATCGAGGGGTCTAAACGGGCGCGGCACGGGCTAGAGAAGAGATGGAGTGATGTGGTACAGGAGGACGTGGAGCTGAGTGGACTTGCCGATGACTGGTACCAGCGGTGTCAAGATCGGCCTCTGTGGAGGAGGCTCGTGAAGGACGCTACTGGGCAGTTGGAGGCAGTCGCCCTCCAACAACAACGGAGGGCGGAGGAGCGACGCTCACAACAACGAGCGGAGCGCCGGGTGGCTAAAGCACAGCAAGTTGGCACAGTAGGGGGCACAGGCGGTGCATCAGCCAGTCATCTCGGTCAGTCGACCCGTGGCACCTGGGTCTGCCCCGTGACCTCTTGCCAGTGGGCGTTCGACACTTCACGTGGCCTCAAGGTGCACATGGCCTGGCACAAGCGTCGTGGTGGCGTCACCGCCACTTAGTGGCGAATGGCGGTTGTTGTTGTTTGTTGTTGTCTGTGATGGGGGGGGGGGGGGTTGCCGGCCTGTAACTGCTGCGGTTGTGGCTGCCTGTCGGCACCGCT